TTATACTCATATATTGCATTATACATTGCATTATATAAACGTAACATAGATATTTATATTATATTACATGATATAAAAATATATGTAACATATACGTCTATGTAACGTTACAATAATATATCATTGAAATATATTTGATACATAAATGATACCTTCAAAGTTGCTGACATAGAGCTATACTAGTACGTTACATTTACCTGTACAAGATATATTACATGTAACATTTATTGATACTCGTGTATTGTTACATATACATCTATGTTACGTGTTTTGGTTTGCTGGGTATTATTTATTTAATTATGTTGTATGCATACATGTGCCTGTGTGTGTGTGTGTGTGCGCGTGTGTGTGCGTGTGTGTGCGTGGGTGTGCGTGCGTGTGCGTGCCTGTGCGTGCCTGTGCGTGCCTGTGCGTGCCTGTGCGTGCCTGTGCGTGCCTGTGCGTGCCTGTGCGTGCGTGCGTGCGTGCGTGCGTGCGCGTGCGCGCGTGTGTGTGTGTATGTGTGTGTGCGTGCGTGCGAATTGAATTGAATTTTGCGTGCACACGGGGACAGAAATGCCTGGCCATCTGAAGTGTCATGTGTATCTACAGAGATCAAGAGTTCTGTCTAACGCGTGCTTCTCATTGGTCTCTCTAGATACGCATGAAACTTCAGATGGCCAAGCATTTCTGTCCCCGTGTGTACTTAACATACGTAATATATATTAATTTTATGTATTTACCTTTTTCATAATCGCGTTTCTTGGCGCGTTTGGTGGCGGTGCCGATGCCGTTGACATCATCAATGGCGGTATCGGTGCCAACGCTGCTGCTGCCGGTGGCGGTGGCGGTGCCGCTGAGATCATCGGTGGCGGTACCGATGTCAACGCTGCTACTGCCGATGGCGGTGGCGGTGCTGGTGCCAACACTGCTACTGCCGGTGGCGGTGCTGGTGCCAACACTGCTACTGCCGGTGGTGGTGGCTGTGCCGATGCCACTATCGTTGCCGGTGGTCGTGGTGATGATGCCGGTGTCGATGCCGATGCCGCTGATGGTGTCAACGGCATTGGCGCTGCCTTCGTTTCTCTGTTTAGGCAGCAGCCTAAACTTTTTGCTGAAATGAAAACGAATAAATTAATAGAGTAGCGTCACAGCTTATGTCTCTTGCTTCTTTCTCTTCTTTCACACGCACACACACTCACACACACACACAAAATTTCTCTCTCTCGCTCATTTTTGTACGATTTTTTTTCATCTATTCTCCCATTTTCTTGCATTCTTCTTCTCGCACACTTACGCACGTTTTCACGTACACCGCCACTACACTTGCTCATTCACTAATTACTCGTACGTTTTCGCTTCACTTTTCGACTTCTCTCGTTCACGGGCCGACGCAGAAAGATGATCGTAACCGTTTCCGAGTTTGTAAACGCAAATCGTAATCATTGATCAACGCAATGATTTTACGCAAACGTATGTCGTAGAGACGATTGATACGACACATACATTTACGTGAAAATAATTGTGCGGTGACCACGACTATGATTTACCTTTACGTATTTGGTCAGAAACAGTTATGGCAATCTAATTACTTCTGCGTTGGATTTACTCGTTTTTTCACACTTTCTCTTGTTCATGCACTCGCACGTTTTCACTGATCATTCACTTATCCATTCTCTTACATTAATTCACTCGCTCGTCCTCTCTCTCTCTCTCTCTCTCTCTCTTTCTCTCTCTCTTTCTCTCTCGAGGTACTTACATTTTCTTCTGCCTGGCTTGTTGGACATGTTGATCACTATTCGTTTGCAGCTCGCTGATCTGATGGCGAATGTTCGTTGTCGCCGGGCGCCGAGTGCGCCGACCCACGTGGATACAGCGTTGCCACGTTGCCACACACAACAAACACACACTAAATGATCCCATGTCCGTGTATGTTCCATGGTTTCGCCTCACGCCTGAGTTTACGCTCCGCGAGACGATCTGACGCCGCGTTTTCTTCTCTCTCTTTCTCTCTCCTCTCTCTCTCTCTCTCTATCTTAGTCATACTTATAGAAATATGACTTGGGATCTAATTTCATAAATTGACAATGTAACACGCGACATTATTATCTATGTATTTCTTTACTTTTACATTTATAAATTTATTATATATGTAATTATTATTAATATGTAAATGTTAAAATGGATAAATATGAAAATCAGTTGTAAGTAAATATGTATGTTTGTTATTTAAATTGATACCTTAATTTTAAATAAATAATTTTGGCATTTTGATATTTATTTCAAAAAAGTTTAAGATAAACAAGCTAGGCTAATTAACATTTATTATAAAAAGGGACTTTATTTGTCAAGATGTAAAAATTAATTATGAATCTCGAGAAAAAAAGCAATTATATATTGATCTGCAAATTTTTATTTTTACAAATTATAATTTAATATGAACATATATCGTTA